CCCCTCACACTTCGATTGCTTGTCACGTGGTTTCCGTTGCGAGAATTCGCGACGCCATTGCTCGGAATGACGTCGAGGAGATGGGCCTTGCATTCTTGCATGCCCTCCCCTCGCCGGACAGACCAGCCGCGTCACCGCCGGACCCACGCATTTCTCACCTCCTAGACGAGTATGGAGACGTCTTCGAGGCTCCCACCGGAACGGTTCCGGATCGGCCCATACGTCACGGGATCACTCTCGAGGCTGGCGCCGTCCCTCCGCGTGGATGTATCTACCGCATGAGCGAAGAGGAACTCGAGGTGCTTCGCGCACAACTCGATGATCTTCTGGACAAGGGCTGAATTCGCCCTAGTTGCTCGCCATACGGTGCACCTGTTCTCTTCGTCCGGAAGAAGAACAAAGATTTACGATTATGCATCGACTATCGGAAACTTAACGCACAAACCGTAAAGGACGCCGACCCTCTTCCTCGGATTGATGATCTCCTTGAGCGGTTCGGCGGCACGGTACGGGCATTTTGAGTGGGTTGTCATGCCCTTTGGCCTCACCAATGCCCCCGCAACTTTTCAAGCAGCGATGACGACTGAGTTTCACGACTTGCTCGATCGCAGCGTCCTCATMTACCTTGATGACATCTTGGTWTATAGTAGGACGTTGGACGAGCACATCGTACACCTTCGCGTTGTTCTGAATCGTTTGCGACTAGCCAAGTACAAAGCGAATCTCGACAAGTGCGAATTCGCCAAGCAAGAGCTTGAGTACTTGGGTCATTTTGTCACGCCGAAAGGCATTCGTCCCTTAGCGGACAAGATCCAAGCCATCGTGGATTGGCCGAAACCCCGTTGCACGACGGATGTATGCTCTTTCATGGGTTTGGTTGGATATTATCAGGGATTCGTCGAGTCATACTCGAAAGTGGCCGCTCCTTTGTCGAGACTTCAGTCCCCGAAGGTGCCCTTCGAGTTCGACGACGCAGCBCGTGGCCCGTTCACTACGTTGAAGGCAGCGATGCAAGCCACACCTGCCCTCTGTATATACGACCCCACCCTACCCACCCAAGTGACTACGGACGCTTCGGGATACGGTATTGGTGCGGTGTTGGAACAGTGTCACGAGGACGGTTGGCATCCGGTTGAGTATTTCTCCCAAAAGGTGCCTCTCGTCAACACTCTCGACGACGCTAGGAAGAAATAGCTACTCGCGTTCGTCACCGTTCTCAAACGATGGCGCCACTTTCTTCTCGGCCGTCGGCGTTTCAAATGGAATATGGACAACAATCCGTTTACCTTTTATAAAACGCAAGACACGGTCACTAGCACGATCAGTCGATGGATGTATTACATCGACCAGTTCGATTTTGACCCGTGCCACATTCCCGATCCCGCCAATGGAGCTACAGACGCCCTCCCACGACGGCCCAACTTTTGTGCCATTGTGACCACGGCATTCGACCTCAATGACGATCTGCAGCCGCATTTCGTCAAAGGCTACAAGTCCAATCCGACTTACTCTCAGCTTTACGCGGAGCTTTCATCGGATCACCCGCCGGCTAGCCACTATCGGATTTCCGACGGGTTCCTTCTCCTTCACACGAGAGGAAAGGACTTGTTAGTTGTGCCCCAAAATCGCATCTTACGGACTCGTCTTCTCGGCGAATTCCACGACGCACGACTTTCGGCACACCTTGGCGTGAACCGCACACTAGCACGCCTCCACCAGCGATTTCACTGGCCCGACGTCCTTCATGACGTCACGAGGTACATTGAGTCATGTGCATTTTGCCACCGTAACAAGGGTCGATCTCGAGTCCCCTTCGGCGAACTGAAACCGTTGCCGATTCCTCGGGCACCACGCCTCTCCATTGCTATGGACGTGACAGGCCCGTTTCCCCGCGATCGCCACGGCCATGACGGTATTCTCACGGTCGTAGACCGTTTGAGCAAGTATGCTCGCTTCCTCCCTTGCAAGTATCATGCTGCAGCGCCTGAGCTCGCACAACTCTTGCACACCGGGTGGATAACCAACCAAGGTGTTCCGAAAGACATAGTGAGCGACCGAGATACTCGTTTCATGTCATCCTTTTGAACTTCCCTCATGGTTGAGTCCGCTACGACAATGAAACCGAGCTCGGCTCGGCACCCGCAGTCGGATGGTCAGACGGAACGACCGCACCAGACCGCTCAGATGATGTTGCCTACGCTCATCCGTCCCGACCACAAAGATTGGGTTGACCAGCTTCCCGACATCGAGTTCGCCTATAACACTTCGGTGCACCCGGCGATCTGCGTCACACCATTCGAGTTACATCATGGTGGAGAGAAAGCACGGATCTTCACTGATCTCCTTTTGCCACAGGCTGCCGACATAAACGTCCCTTGCTCTCCCGCTTCGGTCCGGAAGTACCGGGACTTGCTGATCAAAGCCCGCACAAATATGCAAAAGGCTCAGATCCGCATGCACCAGCAAGCTAACCGACGTCGACTTCCATGTCCTTTCCGCGAGGGAGACCTTGTTTGGGTCCTCTCCGAGGAATTTGCGCTCGAGCAGGACGTTTCGCGCAAACTCCTTCCGAAATGGTTCAGACCATGGGAAGTCACTTTTGCCGTTGGAAACGATCCCGCAGGTCCTTCCTTCGTGATCAACATTCCACCGCACCTGACAGTGCATCGGGTCTTCCACGCATCGAAGCTGGCCATCTACACGCCACCTTCAAATGACGAGTTTCCCGGACGTCGATCACAGGATCCGCMCTCCATGGACGGACATCAGGAAGTGGACCGAGTCATCACGCACCGCAAGTATGGCAACAAGCCAAGGCAGTACAAAGTCACATTCAAGCAATGTGCGCCTGATGACACTCGGTGGATCTCCAGTAC